TCCTCCTCCTCACCCATAAACTTATTTCTAGAACAGACTACAGATTTCACCATATATCAGAAAGCGTTGTAACATTACGATAAGAGATAATGTAGAGATTTGTGATGATGTCACTATTCACTGTTGGTGTTGTAGAGATTTGTGATGATGTCACTACTCACTGTTGGCGTTGTAGAGATTTGTGATGATGTCACTACTCACTGTTGGCGTTGTAGAGATTTGTGATGATGTCACTACTCACTGTTGGTGTTGTAGAGATTTGTGATGATGTCACTACTCACTGTTGGTGTTCTTGTAGTACTTTTTCAGAAGTCCAAACACCCTCTCCACTTCCTGTGTCGTACCCTCGTTCCTTCCTCCTTCCCCAAAATTGTTCAACTGAAGACGAAGTAAGGTCTCTGTCAAGGGGTTTTCATGTTCATATTTAGAGTACAAGCCTGCAGGCTGATCAACAACACTAGCATAACCTATAATTGTATAGGAACTGTAAATATTGACAATATTCACTAGCCCTTTTACATGATGAACTACCAGGTAGTACCCTGTCTGCATTTTGGAACACTGAAATCTTTATATATTAATTTCACTGTGTCACATTTTTATTAACATGTATAGGTGGTTAAATAACATAAAACACTGCTAATATTTGGCAGTCCAAATTAACTCTAAATCAGAATGGTTAGAAATTTGAGGAGTATCTTTTTTCACAAATGTTGAAAAAAAGCCATTCGGATTGATATGTCTCGCCTGTGCCCTGCTTTGACTATCAATGCACATGTCAAGTTTGGTTGATGTAGCACTTATAGTTTAAGAGAAACTAACTTAAACGCAAAAACTCAATGTTGATGGAGATGGCCGATGCTGACAAAGTCAATGGACCATGAAAGGGAGGCAGCATCCAGAATGTTATGCATGGGTTGAGATGTACTGCCTAAGATGCATATATGGTCCAAATTTGGTTGGTGTAGCACTTATACTTTCAGTGAAACTAACTTAAACGTAAAAACTTAATGTTGACCCAGCCACCGACAACAGAAAAGCAACACCTAGGTCTCACCTCCGCTACTTTTCCGCCAAGAAAGTGTCCTAATGTTACTTCCATCCAGTGCTCACGCTGTCGGTAGCCAAAGTAGCCATTGGCTACTTTTATTTTTTATTGGCTACTAAAAATTTGATGTGGCTACTAAATTGACTACTAAGTTTTTTTAAATTGGGCAACTCTGCATCTTTGTCCCAGAAAACGATCCGTCTACTCACGCTCACGTGTGCATTGTGGCTGACACTGATTGCGTAAACATAATCAGGGCCGTCACAGATCAGCGTGCGCTGTACGACCGCGAGTTAATTAATGCTTTTGTCTAAGTTGTAAAGTCAATTATCAAACTTCAGGTGGCAAAAGGTGTTATAATTCTTGTACAATAATGGACAGTGGGGTCAAGTTAATTGGATGACCCGGCCCATTGACGTTGAGAAAACAGTCTGATAATAAGCGAGTCACACATAGGTGGTCTCGCACACGTACATTTGACGGCGCCGTAAGTCGATCTGATAAACTCGTTCAAACTACGCATCCAACAAATTTATAGGTTCAGTATATTTAAATTAGTGTACATGGTATTCTGATTTAACTTTTCCCGTACCGTAGAAAGCATAAATACGTGCGATATGCTTGATTAGAAAGTATAGTATCGCCTTGAAACACCTTGTCAAGGTGCCGATTTTCGGCCTTTCTGATCACTTCAAACGATAGGCCCTATATCGTATCTGACCGTTGTACCTTCGGGGTTAGACGTTTTGGAATTTCAAGTGATCGAGGAAAGTTATTTAGCATCACAGTTACGCGGTTTTTAGAACAGCAAACCGTTCAGAATAACTTTGACGGTCGCTTGTATTAGGTACCAATCGAGGACACGTGCACGGGAATGGCCAAGTTGCGCGAAGTGATGTGCTCACGATTTATTTCGAAGGGTTGGTCAATACCGTTATAAATACGTCCTTTTCCTTTCAAATGTGTTCTACTGCCATTTACATTTGAAATAGGTGATCTTTTTAAATAAATTTATATAATTTTTTACATAAAACATGAATTACGGAAAAATAATTATCAATATTGCATCACTTAGGTTACTTTTTATTTGGATTTTGTTAGTTTTATTTTTTGATTGAAGGCACAGAATTAAAGGCGAATAATATCTTATTTAAACTTTCAGCCTAGTTTTTTTCACAATTCCTGTGTCAAGAAATGAGATAAAGTCTGAAAAAGTTTCTCTTTTGAAAATAAAATTAAAAAAAAAAGTTCTGGTGGAAATTTTCAGCATTTCAATTTAAATCATATTTTCTTGAAATTACAGCCATATAAGCTGAAACGATTAAAAAGATATCACATTATGAATTAAATTATAAACATGATGTATAACAAACAAACAAAATTAACAGGGTACTCCTTAATTTAACATAATATCGAATAGTATTGCATTTCAAAAAATATTAAATATTTAATGATTTTAATGGAGGACCTATCCATAACGGTTGGAGGCCGAGAAAGTATGGCCACTGTTTAAAAAAAATGGCTACTGAAATTCAAACATGGCTACTTTTTTGGCTACTGATTTTTTAGGTCCAGGGTGAGCCCTGCCATCTAGTCTCTATCCCAATTGATTTAGGTTTCCAGTATTTCAAATATTGAATCAAATATCCAGCCATCAGTGATGTTCTTGCATTATTATACTTAGATTTCTGAGGTTTCCCAGAAACAGTTGGATATTTTGTCTACATGTAATATTTAGGGTATACAGTAAGTGTGACAGGACCGGACATAACACACATGTATACATGTTGAAAAGGTATAAAAAGGCTTTCACTATTTTACTATAGAAATTAAGTCTTTGTTCAGAACCACTACATTAATAGGGTCATTCTTGAGTGAAAATAAACGTATACAAAAATCTGCAGTAATTAGAGGTAAAGGGTTGAAGATTTCCAGGATTTGTAACTCATGTCTGATTTTATTCCCAATTTTTATCTCTTACAAAAACACTGAGAACTCTTGGCCATACAACCAACTCACAGTACCTGTTTGGGAACTGTTGCCTTCTCCTGTAAGTTATCCTTTTCTTTTAACTTCGGGGGTCGTTTGTTGCCCATTTTCGGCACAGCTAGTCGTTCAAAAGATCCTCCCCTATGTAAGAAAAGGAGAATGTGTTCTTCATATGTCAGTAGCATTAACGGTATCAAAAAACGTGTACATCTGATCACTAGGCAATGATCAATGTATAAAGTGTTACGCTTAATTTTGATACTAGTAACTTATTGTGCAGATTGGAGAAAAAATTACCTATTTTGGTTACCTAACTTTTGACAAGGGAAAGAGTAATCACAGGGCCTGAATTTGTCAGCAATCTTGACTATATTGTATATAATCAACTAGTTCACGGTATCCTGTAAAGTAGCTACGATTCTACTGTTGTTTGTTGTACTGTATACTGGAAAATGTTCGCCCCTCAATGGTAGAAGTCCATTTCCACCCAATATTAAATTGGCCCTTAACATTTAATTATAGGTACTATGTATATCATCTTGTTTAAAGTTGTTCGCAGTAATGATAACTGCGCCCTCATTGCGGATATCTTGAAAATAGCAAATTACATGTGTTCTTAAGAAGAGCTGTTTGATGACCAGTAAAAAAACCAGCCTGCTATTGATCAACTCTGACCCAGCTTTGTTTTCAGCACATATAAAATATTATGCCATATTGAAATTCAAATGGCTACTTTTTTTTTAAATTACCCCCTGTTTTAAAACATAGTGAGAACACTGGCACGAGACATTTTATCAGTTATCAGAGAAAGACAGTTGCACCGGAGAGGTATGAAGGGATTCTTCGATGTACAACAGTTAAACTTTACACCCTAATATTGTCGATGAAGACATTTCACAGATTCAATAACAGTCATATACACACATGAAGTGGAAAGCTGGGGACTTCTTGAAGAATTTCTGGACAGCTGATCCAAGCATCACCCAATTCTGTGGTGTCATCTGTCTGTCTGCTCCACCATCTACAAACGTTATCTGTGTAACAGACCACAGAGAGTAAGTTTGTAAACAACACAATGTACACCAAGATGTTGATTACCAATCTTATAGTGCCTTAAGTATTAGGTTGCTATAATCAGTGTTTATTTCCTGGTTATGTCCCACAAAAATAACTTTGTTAAAACACGATTTCATAATAAGCTTTATTCAACAAGTAAACTTTATACTGTAGTAGAGCAAATATTTAGTCCTGTATTTTTCTTTATAACAATATAGGCTATTGTATAAAATTCACCTGTGATGCCGGAGTTATCCCCCTTGTCAAATAAACAGTACCACAACCATATTATCAATGTTCTTCTTGTGTTCCCTTTAAATGTCTTTTCAATGTTGTTTTTTTAACCTGGTACAGTGTACTTCCTCTTAAAGTAAACCTGTTTCTTTGCACTTTTGAAATCTCCCGACCTAATCCCAACCCCTACAATCGCAATTGTCTCTGTCTGTCACCGAATTTATCCTAGCTGTATCAAGAGTTACAGCTTCGAATCATAAAAGCAGGATTGATACAGGAATTTTATTATATATTCAAGGCCTTTCAAGAGCCTTTTATCAAAATATAAAGCTGAAGTATTGCAAAATAATATCTATCATAGTAATATATATAAGAAAATCATGAATATAATATATAAAGCATTTTCAAACATTTATTGGAGCAAATCAGGAACTGGTATACGGATAATCTGGAAATAAGCTCGTAAAAAAATATCTGAATTTTGAATTGATTAGATACGAAGAGTAACAGCAATACAGATAATAATACGATCAAAACTTGATGAATGTTCATATTGTCAAATTGAAGGTTCATCCTTTCTATCCATTTTTCTTAAATATAGGGAATTTTACAGCCTTTTCATCTTAAGTACCATTACTATGAACACTGGAAAGATATTGTATTTGGTTGGAACTTCTCAATCTGTAAAAGAGATTCATATCAGAGTAATGTAACTGCATAGCCTTAATTCAATCTGAAAAAGAAATTCTATTTCTCTTACCAACTTCTCTGCGAACTCAATCGGCTCAAATTTGACGAAGTCTGTATGCAGGGCTTCAGCTTTCTGTCTGCTCAGGTTTGATATGAGGAGGACTGCTTGGGAGTCTAACGCTCCTTCTCTAGGCATTCGCACTACAAAGGACATATACCAAAGGACATTGAACCAATGTACTATTCATTAAGTTTTAAAATATCTATTAACAAAATTTTTAAGAAACATTGCATTTGAAAGATTTCAAACAATTTTAACATTTAAGATAATACATGTATGTGGTTTTCAATCGGAATTTTTTTAAGCTTCTACAATTAATTTTCCCTTTTATAGGAATCTTGCATTAGTCAAAGGGAAATAACTCTGTATAACCTAACTACCTTGAATGCCTGTTGTCTAATCCTTTTGTTAACTTAATAAAATTTGTTGAAACCGAAACTACTACATGTACTAGAATGAACTGCCAAATTAATTGAATAAATCTCTTAATATTTTTTTCTGTATCATAAATAAGTATTGTAATCTCATTCAAAGTTGACCATAACTCCAATCTGTTTACCATTGGTAACATCATGAGTGAACAGAAAACATCTCTACCAACGTTTTATGCTGCATACACGTAAATATTAGCCGAGACATTGCACGCTTACCTTCTTTATTGAGGGAGTTTGCCTCATCCAAAACCTCTTGTAATCTCTTAGATTCTGGATTTATCATATCATGTGTATTCTCTGAAACAAACAACAGGTAACCATGAACAGCATTATCACTAAATTGGAAAAAAGTGATTCAGTTGATAGTTTATATATATATCATTTCTTTTTTCCCTTTGAGATTTTTATTTCTTACTAAATGACATACACAAATTTGCTCTTAAGGAAGATAAAAAAAAAATGAATAAAAGCATTTCTATAAAAACAAAACAAAATATATATATATGCATCCATATAACTGCTTTTTGTAGTCAAATTTACTACAGGTGTTTCATCGAGCCTTCAATAATTTTAAAGAATGGACAGTCTTTTTTGATGAAATTGAAAAACCAGTGCGAGAAAATGTATATTATAAACAAGTGAATTTTCCATCATGACCAGTGTTTGTTTTCAGTCCACTTATCCAACACACAAGTCCTTTTAAAAGTTATTCCCAACTTTTTTTTAATTTTAAGTGACATGCATATAGTCCATTTTGTTGCAAAATTTCAGATTTTTTCAAATTGTTTAGAAAGAATACTTTGATGTGATGTGTATTTAAATCAAAATAGTGATAACTCTTGTGATTCAATCTGCATCGTTTCTTTAAAAAAAAGATATATTCAGGCATGACCCTGAAACACAGGGGCACGCAACTACCATTTATATTGATCTTGTTAGAATTTCAGACGCTGGGTACGTTTTATCATCTTGTTAGACTTTCAGTCGCTGGGTACGTTTTATCATCTTGTTCGACTTTCAGTCGCTGGGTAAGTTTTATCATCTTGTTAGACTTTCAGTTGCTGGGTACGTTTTATCATTTTGTTAGACTTTCAGTCGCTGGGTACGTTTTATCATCTTGTTCGACTTTCAGTCGCTGGGCAAGTTTTATCATCTTTTTAGACTTTCAGTTGCTGGTTACGTTTTATCATCTTGTTAGACTTTCAGTGGCTGGGTACGTTTTATCATCTTGTTAGACTTTCAGTTGCTGGGTACGTTTTATCATCTTGTTCGACTTTCAGTTGCTGGGTACGTTTTATCATCTTGTTAGACTTTCAGTTGCTGGTTACATTTTACATCTTGTTAGACTTTCAGTCGCTGGGTACGTTTTATCATCTTGTTAGACTTTCAGTCGCTGGGTACGTTTTACATTTTGTTAGACTTTCAGTTGCTGGGTACGTTTTATCATCGTGTTAGACTTTCAGTTGCTGGGTGCGTTTTATCATCTTAGACTTTCAGTCGCTGGGTGCGTTTTATCCCAATATAACGTACCCAGCAACTGAAAGTCCAACAAGATCAATATTAATAGTAGTTGCATGCCCCTGTGCTCGAAATAGCTTCAAAGACCAATTTCAGATGGTTCGATACAGCTGTTACAGGTCTTTACAGCTATATACGGATATGGCTCAAACGACAGAATGTATTGGTCCTGTTTATTGAAAGTAACTGCATTTTAGTCAAACTGACAATAGCTTTTACATTTTTATCTTTCACGAACATCAATTATGATGCTTCTAAAGTGATATATGTACATACCACCTAAGTGCTATATTAGCCTTAATTTTTTTTCCAAATGTGCCGAGTAATCAGGTTTTCCCCAACCTGGCTATTCCTTAAAAAATCAGTGAATAATAATTTATCAGATATTCCTGCGTGTGGACCCATGACCTGTAGTCCATAGACTAATGTAACTTTTGATTAAGAACATTTTTGCCGTATGACAGTCAGTAACAGTTAGATGACTCTTTTTATAAGAACACAATATCAAAAACAAACAAAATTTATCAGGAAAAAACAACAACAGGAAAATCACTTTGAATGTCTTCGATAAGGACCCGGTAGTCATGACGAACTCGCAACCTCTCGCTTCTATTTTGATCAAATTGCAAGTACTGCATGCTGTTGTACTCCTCGCCGTCAGCTTCATCGTCTTCTTCTTGTGTCGCTACCTCCACTTGTCGCTTATTTCTTTCACGCGCCATTTTCGGTTTCTGTATACACAGGAAGAACAATTAACTGTAATAAAATCTGAAACGACAGTTTAATAATTACGGAATTGTACGTAATTATATTCACAGAAAACTATGGGCGCTATTTTTTTGCAAAAATTACCTCAATGTGTCAGACAATATTTTTAAATTATTTCATATTAAATCATAGTATTACGGTGCATATTTATGACCATCTGTACGATTGATCTTACAGACAGGTACTGGACACACTATCGGAGACATATAAAGCCAGGGCCGTTTTCGTTTAAATGGTCAAACCGATCGGACCACTCTTGTTCGTTTATTTAAAAGGTCGGACCTAGTAATCTGATGCTGCTTTCAGGCGTGCCCTGAGAAAGCCTTGCAAGGCCTGCATACACATTTGCAGGTCCGCCAGGATTTATACCCGAAATTGTTACATTTATAAACGGTCAAACCGGTTGTTCCGCATAAACGAACAGGCCCATTAGATTATGTTATGGTACCTAAGTCCGTGTTAATATATTGCTATTAGTGTGTCCAGCGCTGTGCTGTAACATATCTTTATTTGGCCTCTTTGACTGGTCAGTTTTGAAAATCTTTGGTCTCTTTGGTGCGACCACGGAATTAGATTATTTAAGTCCGTGGTACAGCGACACCCGTCATTCAAAGCAGTCGGAGGACAAAACAGTTAACAAATAATGAATGTCCAATTTCTGCTTCTATTGTTATCATTTGCGACCCAGAAATCTTATTCGATTATTTTTACGACGTGAACAAGTTGGTGATGTCATGATTTAAATAAACATTCTTTCACATTTCCGAACTAAACTGCATAGCGTTAACGAAGGGTAACATAATGCATTGTAACAGAACTGACATTCAGTAATTTTGAGTAGCGAAATAAAGGTTATTAAAAACAGGTCAAAATTCAAAATTCCAAAACAATTGTTACATTTGAGTTTTGAATTAAAAGATCCCGATACACTATCCCATGTATTCAAAGGGAAATACGAGCATAAAACATTTTAATTTATTGTATAAGAGTACCATACAAATCCACATATCGGCAATACTTACACTGGCAGTACCCTATCTCTACCCAGAGATGCAATTCCTTCCACTCACTAACAGGAACGACGACTCTGGATAAATTATGGCGATTAGGCGCCCATGATCAGGCGCCCGCATCACTGTTGACACCGAACAACTTCAGCCGCTTCCAATGATCTCCCTTTACTGTATCTGTGGGCAGTTTACCTTTTCCATCCGCTTGAACACTACAATTGATTTGCTCTCAGATTTAACCTCCGTTTTATTTCCCAAATCCTCATCATCTATCAGCCCTACCTTAATAAAAGGGGGGGGGGGGGGGTACGCATCAATGACAGCGATAACGNATAACGAACCTAACATTTTTTTGAATGAGATAACATCGGATTTCCATTTGTTCATGTGTCTATAATAGCTCTACAGACATCCTCGATATTCCAGGGGTTACACGCTATCCCTTGAATATGCAATGACAACATCTAACGATCAGTGTGCGCCACCTTGTGGGTGAGAAGAGAAGACAGGGTTATTCATTTGAAGTATAAAAAAGGATTATCGCAGTAGCAGAACGGTAAAAGTGACCGACTTTAAAGCCGGGTGACGCTTCTTCAAATGACAACCTAGCAATTGGTCAGGGTTGTTTTTTTACCAGAGACCAATGAATAGCTATTTCAACATATTCTAAGGGTGCAGAGAGTGTTGGTGAGCGTAATACCTGAAATATCGAGAATGCTTTACAGTTAACTTCACTTTGGTGACTTGGCGATACTATTTGGCTTCTTCTGTAATATATTTTATTTCATTGTTATGTAGCAGCCAATGAATAGGATTCGATTCAGTCTTTCTGACAAACTAGCCTCTCCATGCTATGCGTTATGACCCCGACAACTCGCTCGAAAGTTAAGCAGTATTGAGCATGGTTAATGGCTGGGTGGGTGCCCGATTTCCTGACAAGCTCTTCACTTTGTAAGGTAGCTTGCCGTTTTTCCAGCCTAACTCCGCTTCCTTCGAACTGCTCTCATCCCCGAAACTTGCATGCCCATCTAACTAGTTATATATAGGCGTGAAGAGCTATACTATTCTTTGTGATGTCTACATTTTTTTCGCAACCACCTGTCATGTACAGGCTGATAGTGTCAAAACAATTCCCATTTGGACTAAAATGAACTTTACCAAAGGACAATGCTTATGTCAAGAGTAAATTCGTTTGCTAACTCGTAGTCGGAAGGCTTTTCTATACAATAATACGGACCATTCCCTTTTGAAGGTGCTTTATCATGCATTTGGTAATAATATATGTAATATATTAAATGGGATAAAACCAATTCCAGAGTTTTATATTTCCATCGTCTTACGCGAGTAACACAAAGCTTAGAAAATAATATCCATCCAGATCATTTACACAAGATTATGTTGGCAGATTCAACGATGGAGACATTTATATTAATAAAAGAACAGTTTTCATTCTCACCTGAAGTAAGCTCTACGACAAAATTAAAGAAACAATTCCTGTCCAAGACCTGTTCGTGCTTTTGGGGATTCTGCTGCTGTCCCCAAGGTTTACCGTATTTTCTTTCCAATAAATACTTAATGAAAACTAATTGATTAATTATTCGTTCAGACAAAAGATATACTTTATAACGTCTTACACTATATGTGATATTACCCTTTAGATTCTGAAAGCTGGATGCCCTGTATCGATTAGACCGAACGGTAGAAAATACCAAAACGGCATCCTAATTCACTCCGGATTTCATACTTCGCCATCGGCTTCAGGCCATTGGCAAATGAGAGCGTCCACTTCCAGTCATTGACAAATGAGAGCGTCCATACTTCCGGCCATTGGCAAAGGAGAGCGTCCATACTTCCGGTCATTGGCAAATGAGAGCGTCCACTTCCTGTCATTGACAAATGAGAGCGTCCACTTCATGATTACTGTAAAACGGGATTTATTGTACGATAATACAAATCTTACTAAAAACCGTAATAGTCTACAGGAAAATGTATACAGAAACACGCAAGTAACTAAAACCAGGTCCTTACGATATTATTTCTTAATCTAAACCCAAGTCCTAAACAAGAGACACTACTCTTAGGACCAAGAATGCTATAGATCATTTGGTTGAGGTCCGTATGTGTATATCGTTAAGGCGAGAGAATCTCAACTCACTTCCATGTTGTGTTTCAAGGATGGAGCCAAACTCCTTACCTTATTCGGGTACTGTAACCTTATGTATGTGTTCTTCTTCTCTTCATGTTCAGCAAGCAGTTAAACTGTTAAAAGGTTAGAGATATCAACCATTCCAAGTAATAACAAAGAGATAAAGTACACGAGGGAAACTAATAGACCAATCCTCATAGCACAAGTGTATGTCTCTTCATTAATATCAATGATGTATATGGTTACAGGTTGGAAATCTCGACCGTTTCCGTATGACTCCAGATCTATTCCAAGCCCAAACCCCCGGGAGGGGACAGACCTCAAACCCCCGGGAGGGGACACACCTCAAACCCCCAGGAGGGGACACACCTCAAACCCCCGGGAGGGGACACACCTCAAACCCCTGGGAGGAGACACACCTCAAACCCCGGGAGGGAACAGACCTCAAACCCCTGGGAGGGGACACACCTCAAACCCCCGGGAGGGGGCACCTCAAACCCCCTGGGAGGGGACACACCTCAAACCCCCTGGGAGGGGACACACCTCAAACACCCTGGGAGGGGACAGACCTCGAGATCAATTTGGTCGCATACACCTATGTCTCTCTTCATACCGTGAGGATATCGACCGTTTGCATATTTTAACTAGGAACCAAGTACCAAAGTGCTAGGCACGACTCATGTGAAAATACTAAAGCACGAGTGCATTCGTTTCTTCCCAGCAATAATATATATGGTTATAGGTTAGGGATCAAACTTTGTTTCCATGTTATGACCTTGGGACAAAGTATCCTTGGGCGAGGCTGGATCCAATCCTTTTAACATTTTTATAGATATGATCCAAGGAATATGCTGACAAGGGACCGGATCCGAACCCTGGTAACATACATGTGTGCGTCTCTCCTTGTATACGACGGGATCTCTACCGTTTGCATGAGGAAAGCATGGGCGAGCCAGACCCTAGTCAATTCATGGTAGCTTGCGGATATTCCTCTCTCCGTGTCTGGTATTTGTCAGTATGGTTACAGGGTAGGGATCTCAAACGTTTTTTTATTGCGACCCTGGTTTGGGCAGAGCCAATCCTCTCAGCGTGGTTGTGTTCGTTTCTACATGCCAAACAAGTAGAAAATTATTTGGCGGGACCAGTTTCAAGATTTGCCCCAACGACAAAGTGCCCAAGGGCGGATGTGGAGTCGAACCCTGGAAGCATTATTGTATTGGTCCCTTCGTACATGGCTGGTAGATATACGGTTATTTTTTACTTTACCGTTCCTCGTTATGACCAAAAACTGTGTCAACGAAAGCACTCAATCCCAGCTAGGACCTATCCAATATCATGATCCTTGGCATTATTTTGAAAAAAAATTACACATATTTTGTTCAATTCATTGTGTTGCCTGTTAGCTATTTCAGTTTACCTTTGGTCTATTAAAATGCATTGAAATATATGTGGCAGATTTTAATTGTACATAGGATTAAGGTCCCCTTCTTGCTTTGAACTACAGGGAATTTCCCTTTAGCTCTGTGGTAGAGCGTCAGACTTGGAACCTGAAGATCGAGGGTTCGATCCCCGGTGGAAGCACACTATTCTTTTTCCCGTTAAAAATGATGTCCGTGGCCTTCCCTGTGGTGACAGGGCGTTAGAACCTGGGTTGTGGTGTTGGAGGGTAAACACATTTAAAAAGGAAAGAGTAGTGTGGCAGGTTTTAATTGTACATAGGATTAAGGTCGCCTTTGAGCTGGAGGCTAGAATAGGAACCTGGAGATCGAGGGTTCGGTCCCCGGTGGCAGCGTACTATTCTCTTTCCCGTTACATA